GGGAGACAAGGTGTACGTCAAGTGGCTGGGATTCGATGGATCGCACAATTCATGGATACATAAAAACAATGTGATTTGATACAATTTTGATCATGTTTTTTTTATTCTACATATAAAAAATATATATCTACATAAGGATATAAACGTGTAAATTATTTTTTATCATCCCTTCCATCTTTGTCTTGGAGTATACAGATATAAAATACGTATATAAATGTACGATATATGAAATGAAAAATAGTAATACATAATAAATGGTGCAACATAAAACATAATAGTAATACTTATATAAACGTAAAACTAATATAGTACATAAGAAAATGGTTAATATATGAATTGAAAATAATAATGCATAATAAATGGTACTACATAAAACATAATAGTAATACTTATATAAACGTAAAAAACATACATGACGTGTACAATTATAATAACAGTACATAATAGTATAACATAAATGTCAATGGGAGTTTTCTAGAAAAACACGTTCTGTACTTGAATGTAAAAGATATAAAGCTACAGAATTCAGATTGTTTATGCTATATACTGGTCTTATAGTTTTAAAAGATGTGCTACCGTCTAAAATCTATAACCATTTTATTACGTTAAGCCTTGCAAGTTCCATAATGATAAGTCAATATTACTCTAAATTAGAAAATTATGTATCGTATGCTCAAAATTTGATGAAACATTTTGTTTGCCAAACCATTAAAATTTACGGTTCTGATTTTGTATCACATAATATACACAACTTTTTGCATTTAAGTAAGTGTGTAACATTATATGATTCGCTTGATAACTTTGGTTATCAAGTGAAAGTGCCTTTCCTTTTGAAAATTATACGCAATATTTAAAAAAAAAGTTCGTAAATCTGCTCAGCCTTTACAACAAGTTATACGTTGCGTGATTGAGGAAAGCAATATTACTGAATGTACTAATATTATAAGCAATGATTCTGTGAAATTACGAAAAGAACATTTCAATGGACCTTTAATAAATGACTGTACATCTCCACAATACATGCAAGCACAGACAAATCATTATTGCTTAGATATTTCAAAATTAAGCGATAGATTTGTAGAATTAAAAAATAATTTAATTATTGAAGTTAAGAATATCGCTTCTTGTAAAAACTCCGTATGGTTAATAGGACACAGATATAGCAAGCGAGATAGCTTTTATTCAAAACCATGTTTGTCATCTTTATTTGATATTCAGTATATAGAAAAAGAGAATAATTTACTTGAAGTATGGAATATTGACGTCATTAAAAGAAAACTTGTAGTGTTACCTTACAAACATAAATTGGTTTCATTTCCATTGCTACATATGTAAAGGACCCCGCACTAATCC